CTAAATTAGAAGTTTCTATTTTCTTAAAATTATGTTCATATCTAGCACATAAATATGGTTTTGAGAATAAGCACTTTTCAAACCTTGGAATCCATATTTAAATAAAACCCCGCTTAACACTGTCTTTGGAGTCCAAAAATTTCAATCCCCTAAAATGCAGAATTACCTCTCTGCAGATAAGGAGTTTGGGGAGCTGGCTGCAGGATACAAATCCTTCTCAGATTTGGGTGTGGTGTAGAACCACATAGTGGCGCTTGTTCTCTAAGGCCTAAACAGGGAGGTGGCAATTTGGAGTTCTGTGGCTTTTCTCCAGCACAGCAGAATCTCTAGGTCAGTGTCCATTTAGTTGGCCTGCTCTGGGAATATAACAGGGCGTTAGGGACCCACCATCCACCTCCTGCTACTCAGGACCGGTAGCCTATTATTTTCCAGCCCATCCTGGTTCTCCTGGAGAGGACAAGAACTCTATCCCCATCCCCTCATCAACACCCCCATCACTCACACACTCACACACCTTTATGAAGCGAGGAGGGGCATGGTTGCTGAGTGGAAAACAGTAGCCAATCCGATTTTGCTGTACGGTAGGTTTTTGGTTTTTTTTGTTTTTTTTAACTATCAACATTAGTTGTGATCATAAACTCGATGAACATGAGTCAGGAAATATGGAGGCACAATGACCTGTAATGTGTGCCCATCATTAAAGGGCGTTCTGAATCAACTAGCATGGGGTGGAAATTTAACAGTATATTTGTTTAATGCTCAATATAATACCAGATACACCAGGTTAGTGTTGCCACTTGCCCTGGAAGAACACAGTCTTCTGTTGTTTAATACCAATGGCAAAGAAAAGGAAGCAGAAAGTCAAATCTGAATTACAGAAGCGTCTCAGCAGGCCTCCGTATTCAGCCACCGGTGACTGGCAAGGGAGCCAGATGGGAGGTGGCAGGTGAGGCTGAGCTGCGGGAATTTCAAGACTCCATACCGTCCGCACGCGCGGGTTTCTGTGCCGGGTGCTTCGAGGGGCCTAAATTCTGTACCAACTGATGCAGCGCAGGGCGGGAAGGACGCAGCGTGCAATTCACCTCCGCCACAGCCGTCGGGAAACTGCGGGGCCTGCAGTCCACCACTAGGGTGCGAAAACCCCACGACGCGGGGAATCGGGAAAGACCCAAGGACTGGAAGGCGATGGCCACTTTGCGGCGCTGCCGCCCTTACCTCCAAGTAGTACAAGTCCACCGTAGTGATCTGCGAGTCGAGGAAATCTTCATAGGTGTTGAACTGAGTGACTATATTGTCCACAGCTGACAGCCCCTCTTCCTGATCCATTGCAGTTGCCTCCGCCGAAGCGTCCCTAGCAACGGAGGCACGAGGGCAGGGTCAGAAGGTTCCACCCACTTCGATCCTTCCAATCAGTTGGGGATCGGTGCGGAGCTTTGAACGTTAATCCCTCCCTTGTGTGTTGTTACTCTTTCGGGCTTCCGCCTAACTCCTGGAAACCCGATCAAATTACCCTTAACTCCAAATTCAGGTATGACACCCATCAACTGACTCAGACTTCGGTTTAATGTGGAGCCACGCGAGAGATGCAAATTGCAATCCGAAATTTAAAATTATAAGACGTCCAGGATATGTAAACAAAAATATTACAGATCAGAGTTTAGAATCTCATTCTACAACAATTTTATGCAGGGCAAAAATATAGAGGTTAGTTCTCTGGTAACTGAAGGTCCATTTTTGCAAGTAGTAGAGTATCTCAAAATAGAAGTGTCTGGAAATGGTCTTGTGACCAAAACCAATTCTTTCAAAAATTATAACTTAAAAGGCAAATTATTGCTAGTGTTTGCATACAAGGAAGAATTTATGAATTTCTTAAAGGTAGAAACTCAAAGAAAATATATTGGCTCCAAGTGCTTGTTTCTTAAACTTTTTTTTTTTTTACTTTTTTTTTACTTTCTAAGTTTCAATAAGCCATAATGAAAGACCTTGACTCGTTGAAGCTGCCTTTTTTAAAGGGTTAAATATTTGTGGAAACTTAGAAAGTAAAGACTTACACTAAAGACTTTTTCTTTAGAACAAAGTTTTGCATTTTTAAAACATGGATTAAAGTAATGCAACATAGTAGCTGGCAAAATTTTTAGGATCCAGTTTTGGATTTTAATATCCTTCAAATCATCCTTGGGAATTAACACATAGTACAACGTGGAGCCTATGATAGTTGCTCTCTAAGTATTTATTAAATGATTTTGAAAATTTTCACAGATCTAAAATTTTTTTTTCAGTGAAAACATCTGGTAAAAATCTTCACTTTTGGCTAGCCTTCCTAATTTAAAAAGGTTGTCTCAAAAATTAGGATGTCACAAATGTACAAATTTTAAGTGATACAGATAATCTGTAGGATATCACTGACTTCTTTTTTAATTAATAAATATATTCTGAAATGTTTTGAAAGGTATTTTTGACATTGTTTTAAAATGCAATTTGATTATTGAATTTAGGAGAACAGAAAGGAGAGAAAAATCCTGGACACTCATAACACAAAACAACAATAATAACAACAATAAAAAAGCACATTTATTGAGTGTTCCCTGCATACTAGGCACTGTCCTACGTGCCAACACTGGATTACATCCTTGGTATTTTTACTAAAATTAACAGCCACCAACAATTTGACATCATTTAATATCTAAAGGATATGAAAATTCAAATGCCCAAGAATGAGAAGTCTATGTTACTTAAAACATTCTAACTGATAAGGGACATAGGTCTCAGTATTCTCTGTTATCTAGAGAGTTCTAAAAGCCCCTCCTGAAAGAGGCATTATTCTGGGCTAACTGAGCACAAAAAAGGGCTTAGAAAAGTTTCAGCCACATAATATGTACAGAAAATATGAATATTTGCTTTAGTTTAATGATTCTATTTAAGACTTTACCAGGCAGGTGCCAGCCCTGTTTTAAATATGTTACATGTTTCATTTTATTTAATCATGAAAGTAGCATTAGCATTATTCTCAACATAGACACAAAATGAGTCTAAATGGATTGGCCAAAGTCTTAAAGATAAAAAAAAATAGCAAAACAACTCATTACTCCCAGTTTCCCAAAAGAGAAAGCAGAGGTAAATAGAAGTTTGAAGAGTCACATGGAATTATGAAAGTTGTATTTTTGTTTATCAGAAAAAAATATGTATCAAATTGTAAATGGGAACATGGATTGGCACAAATAAAAGGAGCAAAAGGAATGGCATATTATGAGACGTGGAGGCAACAAAGATCAGGGCCTATGTAGGGGAAAGCTGCACTTTTTTTTTGACAATGGTGAAGGACCCAGTAAGGAGAGTAGAGGAAAGGAAGCTGACTAGAGGAGGAAAACCGGTAAGAAGCTTTGGAATGCTAGGTTGAAGAGTTCGCAAAAGGTAGTAATCATCTCCTTGACTAAGAGAGGGTTACAATGAAAATGACTGAGTGCTGATCACTCGAAAAAAGTGTCTCACTGCTAAATATAAGCACTAATTATATTTATTACATTTGCTTTGAAGCAAATGTATATAGTTATTACATTTATATTACATTTGCTTTGAAATCCTCCTCCATCAAGATTTCATCACTTTCAAGACCAGTAAAGCACCTAGGGGATCTTTGGGTCCATTAAACTAGAGCACTTTGATTACAAGGACCTATATGTTAGTAAAATGTTAGGCCACTGTTAGCCTGTATATCATTCTTATTATGACACATTGTGATTGTGCATTTTCAGTGGAAACCTCATTAAATTTACCATTTGGTCAACAGCTCTTTGATGAAGTAATCTCTTAAGCATCTAAATTTAAATAGTCATGAAAATATTTTTAGCCTATGAGTTTAGTAACGTCTTGCAAATTAAATCACTGAGGGTGATTTTCAACAAAACCAGTTTCTCTATGAATGTTGAAGAAAAAAAGAAAATTTATAAATTTAACCTTGTTCCTCACAGAAAGCCTTGAATGATAGTCTATCTATTTCAATTGTCTTTTCCTTAACTTTTACTTTAAGTTCAAAACCACTTTCAGATCTGTGCCTGAGAAATTACATGAAAGGATAGTAACAAAGAAATTAATGAGTTTCAGCAAGTCTCTATTTCCTACTGCAAAGTCTTTGTTATGATCAGGAAGTACTTTATTTTGGATAACATGCATTCCTATTAAAGTCCAGGACTTGTAATGATTTAAACCAGGAATTTAGCACCCAACCCCAAAGAAAGTCCATTCTTTGCAAAAGGATCAGCAAGTATTATGTATATTCTCAACAAAACTCCAAAATATGAGAGAGAAGAAATACACTATGTAAGAATTTAAATATAGGTCATATTTAGCTTAGTTACTGAGTTTTTTAAAAATGGCACAATGCAACAATAAAGGTTATAGGAATATAGGCAAAATCTATGCATAAGCATCTCTTTGAAATAAACAGGCTTTGGTACTGTACTTACCTGGTGGAAGTATATAAAAGAGTTCCAAATTAAACTCTACATTTTTCTATTTCCAAATATTCAGTGATATACCATGATATCTGGGCAAGTAAATAGGAGACATACTTTCGGTAGGTTGACATGATAGGAAGGGGAATGCCAAGCTTATTATGTGAATAAGATGCTAAATACTCTGAGTAAGAACTTGAGGCTCCGTTAAAGAGGACTTAATAATACCTTACCATATTCTAAGAAAGGAAAGTTTATGCTCACTCTAGTAAGATAAGTGATTTGTGGCTGATTATGCCCAGTTCCTTATTAAGTTTCTGTGGATTACAGATGAGGACTGTTGCTTAATCATCAGCCAAGAAGAGCTCTTTGGGGCTTTGTAATAATGATGACACTGGATTTATTTAAGATGTTTCTTGCGATGAGATCCCTGGACTTCCTGACTGTCTCAGTTATTCTGAGGGGCTGGACTGCTGGCTCCACAACTTCTCTGTCATGGAGATATGTTGTGCTCATGTGTCAGAACGTCTGTGTTTTCTCCTCTCCTGCCTACATCTGACCACCATCACAGTGATACCCTCCCTCCCTCCACCAGCGCCTGCAGAATGTTCAGCGCTTGTTGGGAAATGACCAGGGTAATCAGTCCCTGATCATCTGGCTCATGTCGGCAGCCCGCATGGTCTGGACAGACCCAGGGGAGCTGCCGGAGGTGGTCAGCAAATGGTCCACGTACATGGACCTGGTGCAAATCATCAGGGAGATGGGCATGCGCCAGAGGATTTTCCAGGGGCGCTATAATGGCCCCGGTGAGGAAGTGTTCACCACACAGAAGAAGGACCAATCCTTATGTCCAGCCTGGCAGGCTCCTTTGGCCCGGTGGCTGCCATTTTGACCCCCTTTGTGGACCACTGCATTCATGAGGTCATGGACAGCTATGGCTAGCCTGGGTGATGTGGCGATCCAGTGGAAGGACAAATTGGGGGGAGTGGTTAGGCCCGTCAAAACCACTCCCGCGGCTCACCCACAGGGTGGAAGGCGGAGTCCCTGCCCT